ATCAGAGCACGAAGCCCGTGCATCGGACCATTAGTTTCCTCATAAGAATAGTGAGTGTTGCCCTAGCTGGTTTGGCTCAGTGGATAGAGCATTGGCCTGGGGACTGAAGGGTCCTGGGTTCGATTCCGGTCAAGGGCACATGCCTGATTTGTGGCTCAATCCCCAGTAGGGGACATGCAGGAGGCAGCCAATCAATGATTCTCTCTCATCATTGATGTTTCTCTCTCTCTCCCTCTCCCTTCCTCTCTGAAATCAATAAAGATATATATTTTTAAAAAGTGAGTGTTCTTGCTTATTGGTCCTTCACTCCACCCAGCACTTGCTAAATGAATTCTCTATCTTTCTCATACTCAGCACCACAGCCCAATGAAGAAGGTATTACTGTTCTTGCCATTGTGCAGGGAAAGCTGTTGATGCTTAGAGCTTTAACAGCCCTCTAGGGAAAGCAGCTGGCTCCAGAAGTACAGGACCATCTATCCAAAAACCCACGCTGAGCTGTAGACCACTTTGCCACCACATTTAACACTAGCTTGTGAGTGTACTAGCTTTTGGGACGTCTCTTTCTTAAACAGTTTGCAGATAACTTTCAAATGTGTATATATAATATATACTCTCAAAAAGAGTTTGTTTATATATGCTTTACCCTTAAGATGCAAGGAGATACTACAAATGTAAGTTTAAGAAACTTAGTAAAGTTGACTTCTAAACAACTTTATAGTGTTTCTGAGAGTTAAGTGAAAATAAATGTAAAAGTCATGTTGCTTCTTTGGATTTGATTTCCTTTATTATTATTCTTTTTGTCACCAACTACAGCCAATAAAGGACTTGGGTTTGCCATGCTCAACTTCTGTTCCAATGCCTTTAAAATTAAAGGTAGATCTGTGTTGGGAGTAGGTTACATATAGTATTTACCACAGGTAATTTAATTATTCCTTTATTTAGTTAGTTATCTGATTCCATCTACTGGGTGTGTGCACCTGTAGGGCAGAACTCTGCCTTTCTGATTTTTAGTATCTCCATTACCCAGCATTGTATCTGGTGTAATAAGCACTTCATGTTTGTTGAATGTATAAATCATGAATAATTAATAACCCTAATTAAGTCGGACTAAGATCAAACCTAGAAATTTCCTACGAAATTTGCACATTTGGTCACTAGATGGCGGTCTTGCCTAATTTTAGATGGCTAGGGAGCACATGCCTTGACTATTGTAAATACTACTGCAATGAACATTGGGGTGTATATATCTTTTTGACTTTTAAATACACAGAAGTGAAAATTCTAGGTCATATGGTAGCTCTACTTTTAATTTTTTGCGGAATTTCTATACTGTTTTTCTTGGCGGTTGCACCAATTCATAATCCTACCAACCAGTGTATGAGGGTTCCCTTTTCTCCATATCCTCACCAGCACTTTTTATTTTAATAGCCACTCTGACAGGTGTGAAGTGATATTTCTTTACGGTTTAATTTTCATTTCCCTCATGATTTGTGATATTGAGCATCTTTTTGTATATCTATTGGCCATCTGTATGTCCTCTTTGGAGAAACAAACATCTATTCAGGTCCTTTTCTTCTGCCCAATTTTTAAATTGGATCGGTCGTTTTTTGGGTGTTAGGTTGTATGAGTTCCTTATATATTTTGGATATTAGCACCTTATGTGAAGTATCATTTGAAAATATCTTCTCCCATATAGGAGGTTGTCTTTAATTTTGTTGATGGTTTTCTTCACTATGCAGAAGCTTTTTAATGTAGTCCCATTTATGTAATTTTTCCTTTGTTTCCCATACCCAAGGAGATACATCCAAAAAGATTTCTAAGAGCAATGCCAGAGTTTATTGTCTATATTTTCCTTGTAGTTTTATGATTTCGAGTCTTAGTTAAGTCTTTGAGTTTATCTTTGTATATGGTATAAGAAAGAGGGTAATTTCTTTTTTTTGCATTATCTGTCCAGTTTCCATCACCACATTTTTTTTGTTTTTTGTTGTTAATCCTCACTGGAGAGTATTTTTCCATTGATTTTTTTAGAGAATGGAAAAGACACAGAGAGAGAAATATCGATGTGATAAAGTCACATCAATTGGTTGCCTTAACCAGGGCTGGGGATTGAACCTGCAATCGAGGTACATGCCCTTGACTGGAATCAAACCTGACCCTTCAGTCCATGGGATGATGCTCTACCCCAGCCGTGGGCAAACTACGGCCCGCGGGCCGGATCCAGCCCCTTTGAAATGAATAAAACTAAAAAAAAAAAAAAGACCGTATCCTTTTATGTAATGATGTTTACTTTGAATTTATATTAGTTCACACAAACACTCCATCCATGCTTTTGTTCCGGCCCTCCGGTCCAGTTTAAGAACCCATTGTGGCCCTCAAGTCAAAAAGTTTGCCCACCCCTGCTCTAACCACTGAGTCAAAGAGGCTAGGGACTTATTAAAGAGATTGCCTTTACTATATTGTATATTATTGTCTCCTTCATCGTAGATTAATTGTAAGCAAGAATTTCTTTCGAGCCCTAGCTGGTTTGGCTCACTGGATAGAGCGTCAGCCTGGGGACTGAAGAGTCCCAGGTTCGATTCCGGTCAAGGGCACGTACCTTGGTTGCGGGCACATTCCCAGTAGGGGGTGTGCAGGAGGCAGCTGATCGATGTTTCTCTCTCATCAATGTTTCTAACTCTCTATCTCTCTCCCTTCCTCTCTGTAAAAAATCAATAAAAAATAAATAAATAAATAGTTCCTCATGTTGTGACCCAACCATAAAATTATTTCCGTTGCTACTTCATAACTGTAATGTTGCTACTGTTATGAATCGTAATGTAAATATCTGATATGCAGGATGGTCTTAGGCGACCCCTGTGAAAGGGTCGTTCGACCGCCAAAGGGGTCGCGACCCACAGGTTGAGAACTGCTGATCTAGAGACACAGCCATTCTGGGATTTATACTAACTTCAGAGAGCACACGTTCTCTGACACAACCTAAATTTGGTTGCACTGTTGTTATCTGATATTTTCTCTACTATTGAATAGTCACTCCATTTTCCAAAGAATAGAATAACATTAAATAAACCCAGGAACTCAATAAACGGGAAATCCCTAGTAATGATTTCTCGGGTGTTAAAGAATCTTTTTAAATGTGTATCAGCAGCTCAAACTCTTCTAGTTTTGGACACAAACAGACCATGTACATTGAAAACAGACTGAAGCCACACATCAGGAAAGGACTTTGATCTAAACTGAAGGTTTCTTGCTTTTATACTTAGATTTTCAAGTGATGTGAACAAATTAGAGCTACTGTCTACCCTTCTGTTCTCTCCTTTGTTATCCTTGTAAATGACCAGCAGTACAAGCAGAACCTTAGGGTCCAGTGTTGTTACATAATTAAAACAAACTTGAATCTCCCTGCTATACAGCAACTGAAGGATTGCCTTTATAAAACAAAATGGACAGATTCTGTGGAATGTGCCTTTTTTGGCTGAGCATTGCCTGCACAGTTATAATATTAAGGCCAGGATACAGCTGTTTGTGACTAAGCCCATGCTCAGTGAGTAAGTGCTATCGAGCATTCCAAGGCACCAGACATCTGTTTCCTGTTTTCCTTCTTCCCTTTATCATTCTATCACAATTTCCTTGCACCTATAGACCACCTAAGACAGTAATTAAGCAACTCTGGTGTTTGCTTGTCTCCTTTCCCGTCTTTAACTGTTGCTCAGGGTAGCTTAATTATTCTGCTTGGAGGGGCAGGGGGAAGGCAACCTAAGGTCTCTCAAAAGTACATTCTGAGACTGGAGGACTATTGCCCGTGTAATCTACCTTGACCTAACGTCCTCCCTCATTTCCAATTAAGAACTTTCGTGTTGAGGCAATACCAGCCCCTCCAAAATGACAACTGTAAACTGAATCACAAAAGGAAAACCTCCAGCAGCAAAAATAAGTCAAGGCAATAACTTACCTGTAACAGTGGGGGACTGTAACCAACCCCACCATTCTTTTGAAATTATTTCTGTAACTGCTGACTCTTTTATGTAGCTTACAGATAAACAGCATGTTTGTATAAGAATCTTAGGGACTAACTTCAGAAGATACAGATGTTGACCTTCAGGCTTTCCAGCTCTGGAAGATTTGCTGACCTTCAAACAAAAAAACAGGAGGATGCACACTACACCATCCTTATCAGAACAGACTGTGCTGGCCTGCGCATAAGAGAACTTTTCAACCCTCTCCCCTTGAATTCTTTTTCTGCTTTCTCGCTCCTTCCCTATAAAAACCTCTACCTGCACTGAGGTAGGGAGATGGACTTTGGGACAAGAGTCCCCCATCTTCTCAGGTTGCTGTCACTTGAATAAACCTCTTTCCTTTCTCACCAGCACCTATTTCACGAGTAGGCTTTCATTGTGGCAGGCAGCCAAACCTGGGTTTTCAGTTAAGCTACTTTATGCCGGAATACAGAACAAGATGTGTTTACATTTAAGGCAGTTCATTTCTATGCAAATAGATTGATGTTGATGTTTTCCTCAGTCCAAGCTAGCATCTCTATCATCTTCCTTAGGAAAAGCTGATTTATATTTGGATCATGAAGATATGCATCTCACTCTGGAGATGAGAAAGCTAAACAGGAAGAAGCCACGGGCTCTGAGACTTTGTGGAGCAGAGCCAGCAATCAGCCCTGAACTGGTCTCTGTACTTTATCTCATTCAAGCAACTGTGATTTGAGGTCCTACCAATGGAGCCAAAACTAATTCAAACAGCCCAACTCTGTCACTTGGGTCTCTGAAAAATAAAAACATGTTTTTTAAATTTTCTAGGTGGCTATCATAGAAGATGGTCCTAATAGTGATTCTCCCAAGTTCTGTATTAAGGAGTAGTTTAATAACAAGCCAAACTATATAATCTTGAATAAAAACTGAGATATATTATTGGTACATAAATTACTTTATAAATTGAATCTCAGGTTAATAGTATATGACGTAAGTAAGTTAACAAAACAAAATATTGCATCATACAGATTTTTAAATTTTTTATTTTAAGAAAATATACAGCTGGGAATCATTTCACTTCTACTGTGGTAGATATAGCGTATCTTTGAAAACCTAAATAAGCTTACTGACTGCTGAATCTTTCACATTAATTAACTGTGCTTAATTTTCACATTACCAATTGTTTTTATGGCTTTTATTCTCACTGAACAATTTTTTGACATCATTTAAAATGACTGAAAGACAAAGATCTCCAATATTTATGAAATAAGTAAATGCATATTAATAAGAATTAGAACACTTACTTTCTTCAAGAAAAAAAAACATTAGTAACTTATTCCTGAATTGTCTATGCATCACTTAAGAAAATTCACTTGGAATTTTTATTTCAATTTTGATAGCAAATATCATACTACTTAGAAGCCATTCACCAGTCTTAAATCTTAAACTCACATCCCATACCGTAATCTCCTTGAGTTGGAGGCTTACCATTTTAACCCTGGGTAGCAGGGCTTCTTCGGGGCTACTGATTAAGAGGGGGCACCAGCTCACTAATTCTAACTGTGACTGAGCAGGTCTGCAAATCAATTCCATCCCACTTGCAAGTTCATTCTGATTTACAATAATAATAAGGTAAGACCTAGATGAAAAGATCATGAAAAAAAATCTAGAAATATTCTAAATGTTATAATCTTCCTTTGGCAAACCACCATGGTGTTTGTATCTTTGAGACAGAACCCATGCCATTTCAGTTCCTCTTTGCAGTCCTTGTTTAGGACATTTTAAGTTTAGATTTAAAAAAAAAAGGTATGATCACGCCAAAAACAATTAAAAAAAAGGGCATCTGGAGAATCACAAATTAAGAAAATGCAAGGAGAAATACGTATGTTTCATTCCCCTTTCCAGTACTCTCTTACAACTCTGCTTTCTTGGAAGGGAATTCATGAGCTATAATACTTGAGCAGATTCTCATCTGTAGGTTTTAGAATTTTCTTATCTGCCATATTCACCACCCATCCAGGAGCAAGACCAAAGAAAATCTGCCTTGGATCCTTTCGAGTACTAAGCATTTTGAAGAGTTCATCTTTAGTGATATCAGGTAAAATATAACCATACTTCTTGGCAAGTTCCAGTCTTGCTTCAGGAAATTTGGCAGGATCCGCCAGGTAACCACGATTTTTTGCATCGGTGTAATACGGGACCAAGGCTTCGGGTGGAAGCATTCTTTTTGGGATGGGTTGTCCCCGCAGAAAGAATGGAACAGGTTTGCATAGAATGTCTAAAAAACATTTTTAAATTAAAAAAAAGAAAAATGCAAATACTGGTTATATGCATAATAATCTTCTTTAATAATTATTTTCATTATTAAATTTTAAATATTACTAAGATCAGGACTTAATTCTAAGAACTTGTTTTATAAATACGCTTGTCTTAAGTATTAAGTAGTAAGCAAATTGAAACACTTCATTTTCAAAAGTTTGCATCTTAAAAATCAAAGTTACTCCTGGGTTATCAACAAATAATGAATTTCTTACACATAGGCAATATCATATTTAAGCCTCATGTTTAAAAACAAAAACTAAACCTCTTTATGATACACTGGCTCAAGTAATTAAAAGAAGATGGAGCCCCACTAGCCACACCACTAATAAGAAATCCAATGTGCCTGAACTGCAAGTCAAATAACCATGAGGATTTTTAAAATCCTCATATGGCAGCCAGGATTAGACAAAGAGGAAGAGAAGAAAATGACTGCAGAACAAGCTTACCTAGACTTCTTGGATCATAGAAGGCTGTAGTAACAACACCACCATTTTTTTCAATTGCAGCAATGGCTAGTTCTGAAGCCAACTGTACTTCAATATTAATTTTTGCCTTAAAGATGTCAGCACCCTATAACATGTCAAAACAAAGTCTGTTAGTAGATATTTTGAATAAAAGTTAATATGGCAAGCTTCCTTTTTATAGTATTTTCTCCTCCAAAGTGCCTACAATGTAACAGTCATTCCTACTTTTAAAAAAAATAATGTTTTGATTGATTTTAGAAAGAGGGAGAGAAATATCGATGGGCTGCCTCCTGCACGCCCCCCATCAGGGATCCAGCCTGCAACCCAGGCATGTGTCCTGACCAGGAATTGAACCAGTAACCTCTCGGTGCATGGGATGATACGTAATCAACTGAGCCACACCCGCCAGGCCATTTCCTACTTTATTTTTTAATTTTATTTTTTTAGTCATTCCTACTTTAAATACCTCTGCTTTGACATCCTATCAACAACATCATCTTATCTTACCAATTTTTATTTCCTGTAAGTGGGAATGACTGTATTTTCATTTGATGTAGTTAGTAGACACCAATTTACTCATTCCCAGTACTTCATTAATTATAGACTGTATTAAAAATTATAACAACTCTACGACAGAATTACTGCTAAACCAATGTCATAGATGGGTACATTGAAGCAGAGAAGTTAAGTAACTTGCCCAACATCACAAAGCGAGGGTTAATCCGGGAGCTTAGTCACAAGTGTCTGTGTTCTGAACCACACTATGCCATCTATATGTAAAAAAAGCTAAGCAACTGGCTGACCGGTGGGTATGACACACACTAACCACCAGGGAACAGACGCTCAACACAGGAGCTGCCGAGCGACAGCAACTTTGCAGAGTGTCCTCTCCCGCTCCAGGACCCCTCGGGGGATATCAGAGAGCCAGTTCTGGCTTGATCCCCGCAGGCCAGGCCGAGGAACTCCACCTGCCGAAGGGACCCTGCTCACTCCGCAGACACCCTTCGAGCCACGGTGCCACCCCGGGTGCGGCCAGCCAGGGAGGGACTGCAGGAGGTTGGCTCCAGGGCGTGTCCTGCCCGTCCTGCCCCAACGGCCACCTTCTAATTAATTTCCTTTAAATGTGCACGAATACTGCACCAGGCCACTAGTATGATATAAAAACTTAACTTCCTTATCCCTAAATAAGCAAGAGGCCAAGAGATGGTTAAAGAGGGGGATGAGTGGACTGGAACCAGCAAAAGAACAAAAGATCTGACAATCATATCTGAGCTTCGGAGGGGTCAGCCCCTTCTAGGGAAAAAGGCAAAAGAGGACAACAGAAATTTACTTTGATTCACTACCGATTTCACTATAGCCTCTAAACTGATAATAATAATAGTCTATCTTTCCTGAAAATGGTCAACAATAAAAAATGCAGTACTGAAACTTTAAAGCTCTGTTTTGGGTCACTTTAGTTAGGATGTACTATATTTCACTTTAATTTCAAAACATTCTGACAAAAATAAAAAGATGGTAGCATTACCTCTCTTTTTGTGGTAACAAAAATATTTAGCTAATTTGGTGTGGTTGAAATAAGCTGGCTCCCAATCAAGTTCCTTTCCTTAATTATAAATGTTTAATATATTTCAAAAATATTCCATCAATTTCAAGACATATTTTCTCACATTCTTTCCATGTATAATTCTGGTCTGCATTTGTATAATCACTGGCATCTTTGACTCAGTAAAATAACATTTTATCATATTATCTGTGATTCTTAATTACTATGCCATTAGTGCTGAACCATTTCCCTATCCTTGGGCATTGGGGTTAGCTCCATTGTTTTCAGTGATATATAAAGCATTTTTAGGAATATCTTTGTTATCAGTTAGGGTTTTTTGCTTTTCCTTTAGAACAGTGATTTTCAACCAGTGTGCTATGGCACACTGTATGCCTCAAGAATTTTTAAAACGTGCAATACCTAACTATTTAGTCGGGGGCACTGACCTCTTTTCCCTTAGATTGTTAAATTAAAAAATAACAACAGCCAACACACTATCTGTCCATTGTGAATGAAACAAAATTATACCTATTTTTTGTGTGTGTCAGAGCGGCAAAAAATATATTTTTCAGTGTGCTACAGAATTTTAGTAATTAGTTTATGTGTGCCATGAGATGAAAAGGTTGAAAATTGCTGCTTTAGAGCAGTGGTTGCCAACCAGTGGTCCGTGGACCACTGGTGGTCTGTGAGGTCCGAAAGGTTGGCAACTGCTGTTTTAGAACATATATTCCCAAACTGGTATTTCTGTGCTGAAGGATAACAAGAGTCTTAATAGCTACTATTTATTGCAAATCTGAAGGTCAAACAGTTTACAAAGCTGTAAATGATGTGTAATTGTGCTTATTCAACCACTTCACTAGTGCAGTTTTCAGAATTATTTCTGCTAGATTAATAGACACATGCTTAAAAGCTGTAGGGATTTGCAGTTTAATGGCTAATGAGGTCATGGATTTTTCCACAGGTTAATTACACTCAGAGTAGAATACTGAGGCTTAATTATGTATTTGGTATTCTCTTTTCAGATCATTTTATTTGGAACTAGAGGTCCGGTGCACAAAATTTGTGCACTGGGGGGCGGGGGTGGGGTGTCCCTCAGCCCAGCCTGCACCCTCTCCAATCTGGGACCCCTCGGGGGATGTCCAACTGCCCATTTAGGCCCGATCCCTAAACCGGCAGTCCGACATCCCTCTCACAATCCAGGACTGCTGGCTCCCAAC